ATAGGGAAAGTTCCACCACCCTAAATAATGTAATATAAGGAATCTTTATTGCCTTTACCTTGAGAGTCGTGAATATAGGGTTCCTTTCGCGCTGAACACGACTGCTCATAGTCTGCTTTCACTTCTTTCTTCATTTTATTTTTTTCCTCTAAAACAGAAAGAATACTAGTCACGCCTTTTTAATTGCAGTACCAGTCAGCTAGCTTTGTACCCTCGCAAAAAAGAATTCATATTTTGCTGTAGGAGACTTCAAATCATTAGCCGCTTATTTCTACCGAAACTACACTCATAGGACTGAAACATATCCAAAAATTAGCACAAATAACATTTTGTATTAGCTGAAATTAATTTTTGAAGTTGATCTACAAGTCTGGCCCGTGTTGATCTCATAGCTTTGCGCACTCTCGACGAAAGATATATATATTGAGATCGGAGAGTCCAAATCACAAGCCGCTTGATTCTATTGATTCTAGACTCAAATAAATCCAACATATCAAAAATTAACAGCCATATTTCTTTCTGGATTGTATGGAATTAATTTTTGAAGTTGGTGTATGCGCCTGGCCCGTTGATCTCATAGCTCTGCGTACTCTCGGAGATAAAGTCGTATCTCGAAATAAAAGCGTCCAAATCACAAGATGTTTGAGGCGTGAAAATTAGACTTCTAGAGCTACAACATATGTAGAAATCACAGTGAGGATGTCCCTAGGTTTTCCCAGATAATTTGCTAAATCTGGAACACGAGTTCCGACATGCTGGCTCTATTGTTTTAGCTTTGTACGCTCTTGCTAAAAAAATGCATATCTCAAGATAGGAGCATCCGAACTAAGAGTTGCTTACACCATTGGGCAAGAAGACTCACAGAGATACAACATCTATAAAACTCAAAGCTCCAACTCTTTTGATCCAGACGCAATAAATCTTTGAATCAAGTGCTGAAATCGAGAGGATTGTTCGGGCAACATACTTCTTTTTCCCTTTTTTTGTAGGTTTGGAGAAGATATACATGGCGAGTTCCCCAATCTGCATCATGAGAAGAAGTGGATGATCACCACTCCTTTGTAAGGAAGAGGTTCCTGAAGCATACGATCCATTGAGATTTGACGAAGAAGTGCACGTCACAATGCTCACCATCAGCATTGAAGCATCGTGTCATTGACACCGGTTCTTGTTGCTGAGTGAAAGCTCTGTGCCATTGTCTTTGTGGCTTGTGCATGGCTTGTGGAACTGCTGGTTTCAGATATTCAACGACCTAACTCATGGTCGAGCCTAGAGATTAACGAGGCTCCCTAATTCTAATTTCCCTTTCCATGCTGATAGTTTTAATCAAACTTTTTGTTACTCGTGCTAACCTTTTTCTTCTTTTTGTTAATCAAACTTTTTGTTACTCGTGGGGCTGTGGAGAAGTATTCATAAAGCAGCAGAATCAGTAAATAAAATCAGCATTAGCCTATGAAGCATTGGTCCGAAAGCAGAACGTCTCAATTAGTGCGCCGAATGCATCTATCGTCGTTAACCAACCCAACCAGCAGGAACCAAAGCATACACTACTCTACAGGAAGATAGCAGTAAGCCTTATGTCGAATTAAGCATCTTTTCGTCAACATTGATACTTACTGCTAAACTGAGCTTTGCACCGTCGACACCAATCAATCATGTGAAATCAAAAAGTTTCATGTCGTCTGCATCGACATTTATGAGTGGAGTTGAAGTGTCGTGTTGCTGAAATGTCGTGCTATTGGCACCGAGGACTTTCAAGATATTTTCTTTTGCAGGATTTTGCCAGAGTTTCAGCGATCTTGATATCCCTAAGAAGATGCATTGCTAGCGAACCTCTCATCTCTTTGTTGCGGCTTGGCAAAAGACACATGAAGTGTACTTTCAACCTTGGCGACAAAATCCCTTATCTTGGAGGCTTGGAGAGACAATATTTCATTATTCGCGAGCCAACATGTACCACATGGTTGACGAGTAAGACAACTGGAGTAGGCCTTTCCAACTTCGGCGAGCAAGCACCTAGCGCGTCTCTGCAAAAATATTTATTTCTTGATGCAGGAGCAATGAAATCACAAGACGCTTCTTCCTAAAGAATCATACTCGAGGGGCTGGAACATATAAAAAATTCAGCACCAAATTCCTTGAGGATTAGCCGCAATATTGTTTTGAAGTTTATAAACGCGTCCAGCATTTTAACTTTACAGCATTGTACAGTCTCGCCACAAGATTGATATCTCGAGTTAGGAGTGTCCAAATCATGATTCGTCTGTGCCATTAGCAAGAATACTCAGAAAAAACAAAATTCTCAGGATATCATGGAAGGATTCCTTCCAGATTCGCCCCAGCAATTTCTTAAATTTGATCCATCTATCTGCCAAAATTGCTCTTCAGCTTTGCGCGCTTTTGTGGAAAAATTCATATCTCGGGCTAGTAATCTCCAAATGGAGATCCATTTGCGCCGTTAGAAAATAAACTCAGATACCTGTAAATATATAAATTTCATGGCATAACATTTTTTAGGCTATCAACAGAATTTTTTTTTTCAATTTGACCTAAATGCAGGGAACTTTCTAGCTTGCGTACTTTCGGTCAAGAAAAATTGTATCTTGAACTAGGAGCGTCGGAATCACCAACGGTTTGATCCTATAAAATTTGGACATCAAGAAATATAATCATGTCGAAGATGGAGGCTCAATTCATTATTAGCTATCTTAACAAATATTTTAAAATTTGATTCTACAGCTTCGCATGTAATGACTTTGGCTATCATCACAAATTTAGACAAGGTGGGTTGCTCTGATGGTAAGCACCCTCCACTTCCAACCAAGAGGTTGTGAGTTCGAGTCACCCCAAGAGCAAGGTGGGGAGTTCTTGGAGGGAAGGATGCCGAAGGTCATTTAAAAACAGCCTCTCTACCCCAGGGTAAGAGTAAGGTCTGCGTACACACTACCCTCCCCAGACCCCACTAGTGGGATTATACTGGGTTATTGTTGTTGTTGTACATATGCCTCTACATTTGAAAGAATTAATATGATGATACCATGACGTCAACTCTTTTTTGTTTATAACTCATGCGGCTGAACTTAGAATGAAACTCTAAGCTACCTACGTACCTCGGTGAAGAGGATCAAGTCATAACGTAGTTCAGAGGGATGAGTTTGTTTTTTATTTTTTTATCCTAATTTTTTCTTAGGCCGCCTCTCATGAGGTTTTCAACCTAGCGGGATTTTTTTTTAATTTGGTCTTGATTTTTGCCTAGGCCACCTTTTTTGAGGTTTTCAACCTTGCAGATTCATTTTTTGTTGTCGTACACAGTTTAGACTCATGCGGGCCAGGAGTATAGCAACGTGCAGTTTAGGCTCATGCGTCAAGGAGCGTAGGTGACTTTCATGGGAAGTATATATTGCTTCAAAAATTTGCCGTTGATTGGACCAATTATGAGACCATTCTTATCAACGATTTTATATCTGCCACTTGAATATGCTTCTTTCACTACATATTGCCCATCTTATTTTGAAGTAAACTTGTCGCCTATGCATTTGCTGAGAATTATGGGTCTTCGAACAGCTAGGACCAAGTCTCCCACTTGGAATGATCGTGATCGCACTTTCTTGTTAAAGGCTCTAGCTAGTCGAGCTTGATAGCACTCTAATTTTTGTTGCGCCTCCAATCTTTTCTCATCTAATGCCTCTAACTCTGCTAGGCGAAGTTGAGCATTCTCTTCGAACGTGAGTCCTTCTTGGATTGCGATCCACAATGATGGAATTTGTTGCTCCAGTGGAAGGACTGCTTCTACGCCATACACCAAAGAGTAAGGAGTTGATTGTATAGCAGTTCTGAAGGTTGTACGGTATGCCCACAAAGCGTCACCAATTTTCTCATGCCAGTCCCTCTTATTCTTTGCAATAACTTTCTTCAAAAGGTTACCCAACGTCTTGTTAAAAGCTTCAGCAAGGCCATTGGTGCATAATACATTGAAGACTTATGTTGCTTAAAATCAAACTTCTCGCATAGACTCCTTACGAGCTTGTTGTCAAATAGTGTTCCATTATCAGTGATTATGTATCTTGGTATATCGTACCTAAAAAATATATTTGACTTGATAAAATCGGCAACAGTTTCCTTTTTCACTTCCTTGAGTGGAACAACTTCAGCCCATCTAGAGAAGTAGTTTGTGGCAGCCAATATATACATCTGTCTCTTTGATGACTTTGGTAGTGGTCCAACAACGTCAAGTCCCCACGCATCAAATGGCCACAAAGCTACAGTTGGATGAAGAGGCTCTGGAGGTTGTGGATGTAGTTTGCATGAAATTGACACGCTTATCATCTTTTGGCATGCTCCATGCAATCGTTCACCATTGTCGTCCAGTAGTAGCCCATCCTCTTGATGCGAAAATGGAGCTTAGGACCAGATTGGTGTGCTCCACATGAGCCACACTGTGCTTCCTCCATCACTTGGCGGGCTTCTTCTTTGTCAAGACATCGCAAGAATAGTCCTTTAAAAGAGCGGCGAAACAATGTCCCCTTATAAAAGATGAATCGCGGTGCTCTTCGCTTGATGTATGTTCTTTGTCGCGAATCCTCAGGTAACTTTCCATGTTCAAGGTACTCTATCAGTGGTTGCCTCCAATATTCTTCTTCAATCACTCGAATAGACGTATGATGGCTTTCATTGATTTGAAGATCAAGAAGTCTAGGAACAACCCATGGATGACACACATATACCTTTGTTGACTGATTCTCTCCAAGTTCCATCGTCGTGGCCAAGTTAGTCAAAGCATTAGCTTTGCGATTTTCTTCTCTTGGGACGTGGTTTAAGAACACTTGGTCAAATTTTTCAAGTAAACCAGAAGAATATTTATGGTATGGCAAGAGATCTTCCTTCTTTACCTCGTATCTCCCCAAAAGTTGGTTGATGATTAGTTAAGAGTCGTCGTAGATCTCCAACTGTAGAATCTTCATGTCTAATGCCATTTCGAGACCGACGATCAAAGCTTGGTACTATGCAGCATTGTTGGAGCATGTTTCACCTAAAACAAAGGAGAATGGCAAGACTTGTCTTTCTGGAGAGATCAACAAAACACCTGCCCCCGCACCATTATGACGTGCATATCCATCAAAGAACATTTTCCATGATGGTAATTCTTCAATGAACAAAATGTCTTCATCTGGAAACACATACGGAAGCTCCCATTCTGCCTGAAGAGGGTGATCAACTAGAAAATTGGCTAGTGCTTGTCCTTTCACTAGCTTTTGAGGTGTGTATGTTATCTAATATTGGTTAAACAATATGGACCATCTTGCTAGGCGTCCAGAAAGAACAGGTCGAGTCATCACGAACTTCACGGGATCTGCTCGAGAGATGAGTTTGATGATGTATGCTTCAAAATAATGCCTTAGCTTATTTATCGCATAAAGTAACACTAAGCATATTTTTTCAACAGATGTATAGTTTAACTCAGCTCCTATCAGAGTTTGACTATGGTAGTACAAGGCTTGTTCCTTTCCTTCCTCATTCTCTTGAGCAAGTAGTGCCCCAAGTGAACGTTCCTGTGCCACGATGTAGAATATTAATGGTTTCCCAAGCATTGGCACTCCTAACATAGGTGGATTCAGCAAGTATCTTTTGATGCTTTCAAAAGCGTTTTGACACGACTGATTCTAATGAAAAGGGATATCCTTCCTCGATAGATGATTGAAGGGTTGACACCGTCCGGCCAAATTAGCGACGAACCTCCGGATGAATGGTAAGTTTCCTTGGAGACTTCGAAGCTCCCTCAAGTTCTTCGGCTCGGGCATTTTCTAAATGGCGTCAATCTTTCGAGGTCAACTTCAATTCCACGATGACGCATAATGAAGCCAAGAAACTTTCCTGAGGTAACTCCAAATGCACATTTGAGTGGATTCATCTTCACGTCGAATTTTCTTAACCTTTCAAAAACAATTTAAAGGTCTTCAAGATGGTAACGCCTACTCTTAGTCTTCACCACCAAATCATCGATGAAGCATTCAACCCTCTTGTGAAGCATGTCGTCAAAGATGTTTTGCATTGCATGTTGGTAGGTAGCACCAGCATTCTTCAGACCGAAGGGCATCACTTTGTAGCAGTATATCCCTTTTGGAGTTCGAAAAGTAGTACACTCTTCATCTTTTGGAGACATTCTGATTTGATTGTATCTGGAGGACCCATCCATGAATGACATAGTTTCATGCCCTGTTCTAGCATCAACCATGAGTTCAATAATTGGTAGCGGAAAGTCAACTTTCGGACATGCCTTGTTTAGATCTCGAAAGTCAACACAAACACGTATTTGACCATTCTTCTTCTTAAAAAGTACAATCTTCAATATGCATGATGGGTACTTCACCTCTCAAATAAATCCCGCTTTGATGAGCTTGTTGACTTCGACTTCGATTTGTGGTACTAGCTCGGGTCGAAACATGCGTTGTGATTGTCGATACCCAATTTTGCCCTCATATTTTCTCAAACAGTATATATACTTTCAAAATATCATTTCCCATTATTATTTAGTTTACAAAATCTATACAAGCATTTTCTATAATTTTTCATAATATTTAGAGCTTTAAAATTGATTTTCTTATATTTAAATTATTTGAATATTTATTAATTATTCCTTCAAATCATTTTGTGATGACTTAATCATCTAAAATTATTATTTGCATCCATAATACATTGTTTTAAATATTTTTACTTCATTTTTTACACTAGTATTTTAGGCTATTTGCACAACCTTGCAATAATAGCCTATATTTTACAACTTTATTGCATTTGTCATTTTATTCAAGGTCAAAATAATATTTTATATTTTTTATAATCTTCTACTATTGTTTTAAGGTATTAATTTGCATAAATAATATTTTTATATATTTATTTAACTATTTTATTAAATTATTTCCCCTTTAATCTCTTATTTAAAAAGCTGGCCCAATTGTTTAAGCTATTTTCGGACTAAACATACCCAAACCCCTGGCCCAATCCTCAAGCCCAACCCCAAGCAACCCCAATAAGCCTACCCAGTCCAAAACCCGACCCAGCTCTCCTCAAATCTCAACCGTTGATCAAAAGCGATCAACGACTCACAACATTCCACTCCTTTTCCTTATATCCCTACCCCAAAACCCTAGAGACTATTCCCTTTCCGCAGCCGCCCTCACATGCTCTCATATCTCAAACCTAAACCCTAGCCGCCTCACTCAAATCCCAGCCCCAATCCGATATTACATGGAAATCATCCATGATTCCTTTCCTTTTCTTGCACACACGGAGTTACTTACCATCTTTTGAACGTTAGAAGTACTGGGTACTTGATTATTTATGGAAGTTGAGTTGTTGGTGTTCGTTTGACTCCGATTCTGTATCATCTTTATGTTTCTAACCTGATACACTCACTATCAGACCCAATGGCTTCTATTCAGTGAGCTTTTTACCATTTTTGTTCCTCATCTGAACTAGGGTTTCCTCGATTTACCCTAAAACTGATTCTAATTGATTTTTGCATGCCATATTTTCCTTATTTGTGTTTAATCTACTGCATTTCCTTATTTTATGTGTTGATCTTTACTACTATATAAATCCCTCCCCATTCCCCTTTGAAACAAACTATTTTTTCACGAGATTCACTAAAAACTAAAGGTTGTCACTCTATTGTTCTCTCATTCTCTTGTTCTATACTTTGGCTCTTGGCCGGCTGAAAGCCAAGGCCACCGGAATTTGATTTTTCAACTTTTCTTGGTGCGAACACTACCTGGGATTCGTTTGAAGCCTTTGGGAACTCTGACGCACTAAGATTCTGGGTTCTATTGCTCTTTTCTAACGTTCAGAGTATTGTGGAGTTTGTTCTTTCTTGTTTGTCTATTTGTCAAGTGATAACTGGTAAGTTCCTTAGCTTTCACAATTTTATTCTCCCGTGTTCATGATTTGCATATTCATACCTCTGAAATTTCATGACCTAATGTGTTTCTAGACCATCTCTATATGCAACCTTGTTGGCATTGAACTCGTTTTGTGATCTGAACTTTTTTAGCATTTGATTTTACCTAAATCTGCTAGTTCTGATATATGTTTATGCTTAACTTGAATAATCTGGACTCTCTTAAGTTCGTTTACCCTAATGTGTTGGTACCTGAATGTCTACATTTACTGTTTGGCATGAGTTTGCTTCCCTGCTTTGTTCTGGGTTCCTGTAATGAGTGACTCGTATCTATAATGTGTCCTAATCTATGACCTTCACTCTAGCTATGACCTGCTCACATGCTATTTTGTCACTCATTATGTCTTCGATTTGCCTAATCTTGTATCCCCTGGTGATTAGTTGGGACCTTTAGAGTAGCCATCTTAACGTGTGTTTCCTTATAATGTTTGATACTGTTTTGTCTTAGCGATATAAGTTGGCATGTCTACTTTCTAGTGTTATGATGGATATTCAACATAATTTGGACCCCTAGGCTTTAAATCCTTTAAGTTAGTGCTCTACTTTAGACTCGTTTGGCATTGTGCACCTTTGTATGTTAATCTTGTAGTCTCAGAAAACCTGATTTCCCTGCTTCTTGCAAAATGTTTTCTTCCCAATATGCTAAGTGTTTGAACTTGTGATATCAACTTGTCCTTTGAGTTTTTGTTGATTCTCTTTGCTTGTATGTTCTTTGTTTAATCACCCCTGCTATGTCTGCTTCTAAAATATAAGTGCACCTCTTCAAATTCTATCACTTGATCTCTGTCATCTCACTCACATTTGTTACCTACTCTATTCTGAATCTATCATCCTTGGCTGGCTGAAAGCCAAGGCCACCAAAACTCTCTCTATTGACCAAAACCCTTAGCTGGTTGTGTAGGTGATTTCTGTGTAATTAAACATTTGGGTCATATGGGCAATTTGTGACTGTTTGGTTTGGCTTGAGTTCCTCTATGACTTTTGGACTGTGCTGATGGGCATAGTCCCCTATTTGGATCCGGGCATGCTATTTTCGAAAAAGGAGTTTGTTGAAGGCCCAGGCAATACTGGGTATCTCCTTTAGGCATGTTGTAGGCCTACTATAATTTCTTGTGTAATATTTGTACTTATATTCCTCATCTGGACTGTAATAATTTTGTAATAAATAATTGGGGTGTTAGTGAAATTAGAGAAACGGTATATTCTAATGTTTGCATGAAAGGGTAGAAAACATGCCTATAGGATTCGTATGATTTACTTGTTATTTTATCCAACCAGCCATATATGCTATTTGAATTTCCATGTACACTAGTAGAAATCATGCCATTAGGGGAATCACACACTCGCACAACTTGTTTACTATCAAAGCATGAGCTTAAATACTCTATTTATTCCCATGTCCACTGCTATATGTCACTAGACAGCATGCCTATAGGAAACAAATGCCAATAACCATCCTCCAATTTGCATAACGGCAACATGTTCATTAGATACCATGCCTATAGGATTATACTAGCTTATGCTCTACTGGTCCTCATCTAGATATCATGTCCATAGGTTCTTAATTGATTCATCAGCTACTGTTATATCTATCGCTCGCCTAGAAAAACATGCCTATAGGGACGAAGTGTTACAAAATCAGTTTTCATCTGCCAACTATTATAACCTAGCTATAAAATACTGCTACTTGCTTAGAAAGCATGCCAATAGGATCAAACACGAGTAATTCTGAGTATTCCCAATGGTTTTCATTCCCTCTATTGCATAAATCACTTAGAGACCATGTGTATAGGTTTTAATAATTTATAATCTGTAATCTCAATAAACGGCATAATAGTACCATATACTCATTAACTGAGTAGTTGTTTAGAAACCATGTCTATAGAGCTTAATGACTTCAATTTGCCTCAATTCTGAAACTGTCTGGTGCCTAACTTGGAAATCTGTTTGCGTGCATTTGTTGTCTAAGTGTGGAGGCTAACTTGAGCCTTTAACTGCCCTTAAGTGAAGTCCTATTTGTTTTGAATGTCGCTTAGTTTTATCATTTTGAGCAGCCTAAGTAAAGTCTAGAATCACCCAAATAGAGGTCCAACGCCTCCTGGACCATAGGCATGGGACGGGTAGTGCACGCATAGGACGCGGCCTGGAATTGAATTAGAACTCTCTAAGTAAACAACTTCAACATAGTAATCGGGTAGCAGGAGATAATAGTCTATGCCTGCTGAATAATATGAGCAACTCCTATCTAAAAGAAGTTGCGAAGTATTATTTATGTTAAACGGGGTAATCCTTTAGGCTAAAAACTTAGGACCCCCCTTTCTCTTTATACACTTAGTCATCTAATATAGACCGTTATAGTTGTATCCTTGTAGTCCTTAAGATTTGTACCAATTCTCATTGTGTTATAATAAAACTCTTTGACCCTTTATTCTCTTTGTTTATTTAATCATCTTGCCTAATTATAATCCACATAGTCTTAAGTTCAGTCGGTACCCATAGTTGTGGACCTCGAAGAGTGTCTAACATCTTCTCTTTGAGGTAATTTGAGCCCTTACCCAATCTTTGGTGGCGCTGACTAGTCAAACAGAGTTATCTGCATAATAGGTGCCCTAACGCACCTTAAAAATCGTTATGTGGTGACTCTTCTTCTTTTAACACTTAGGCTCGGCAGTATGGCGACTCTGCTTGGGATTTACACTTAGGCTCTTACCATAATGAACTTAACTTACGTGGATTACTTTCTTTATTACATGCACTTCCCTTCTTCACCTTTATTTATTTAAAAAAATTACTATTACATACATATCCCTTCCCCTATTCACCTTTATTTGTTTAAATTTGTTATAACATGCACATCCCTTCCCCGTTCATCTTTATTTGTTTAAATCTGTTATGACATGCACATCTCTTTCCCGTTCACCTTTATTTGCTGTGATCACTCTTCCTTTCATCTTGTCTAAGACTGCCATATCATGCCTCTCCCATCCCTATTCCCATATCTGTTTTATTACATTCTTGCATATATTCCACGAACTAAACTGACTCTTTCCTTTCGTTTTTCCTTTCTATATTTCCTATGTTTACCTTACTATTGTATTTACTGCTTTTACATATTTATCATGCAAATACTTGACAACGTGTTATTTCTGCATAAAACATGCTCCACATCATATTTCACTCGTGCCAATTATTAACATGGTGGTGCTTGATGAGTGTCCGCGCTCTTCCAAAATTACCTTTTTTTTAAAAATCAGAAAGGCTTATTTGCGGTAGACTAGTCG